TGCATGTATACACATACAGTATATACATTCTTACACATTATACAATAAGTTTAAGTAATAAAGTTTTCCATATGCATCATTGTCAATCATAAAGTGTTATTTTAGTTCTTGTGAAGCGGTACTGAACTCTTCCAAGTATTTAGTCATTGCCTTCTCAAGAAGACTGTGTATATAGTATATATTGTCTCTGATTACATTTAAACCATCACGTTTTAATAAAAAATGTTCTACGGTTTCTATTGTGTTATTGCAATACATTTTACAAATTCCTGTATTCTGAGTTGACCGTGATTGTTTTCGGTTTTTGAGGTGGTCTAATGAGTTTGATCTTGCTTTAAACTATAAATTAATACCATTATTGTTGGGCTTGTCTATTAAATAATCTTCAAAATATGAGCTGTCTTTGTACACTGTGTATTGCTTCAAGGATATTTTACCCTTTTAACCATTCAATTATAAAAAAAGAAAAACAATGATAGTATTATACTAGCATTTTTTATTTTGTTTATTAAATTGTTTAATTAAATTAGAGGCAGGATATTCTTTAAAAATATCAGTAAGATCAAGTTTTATTAGAATATCCCTTATGTTATTTAGCCATTGACATTTCAAGTTTTAATAGAATATCCCTTATATTATTTAGCCATTGTCATTTCATTTTATGTCGCAGGAGGCGAGTACAAGACGAAACAAAGAAAGCAAACACCGGATTGGATGGAAAATGTCATTTTATTTAATGACGAAAAACAATTTAATACAATGTTAACTTAAAAAGTGTAATGGGGTAGCCACCAATTGATACCGTTATATTAGCTAAACATTTTATAGAATGGGAACATAAGGCTGCCCCTAAAGAATAAATATAAAGAGTATACATAAATGTATAAGATAAATATAAAGAGTATAAATATATAAGTTCAGACTGTTACATTCGAGATACACCTGACACATGATCAATACATAAAATAGTTCAATAGCGATTACAATATAAATCGTACATGAAGAGTTGTAAAACGTTAGTTTAACAAATGAAGCATCAAACCAATATACCTAAAAACTAATTAATTACTAACAACATGGGTGCACGCGCCAAAGGCCCGAATACACCACCCCGACAAAAAGAAACAAGGGGTGGTGGGTTGGTGGGGGGGGGGTCAGGAACTATGCTCCACTGACCCACCACCTAAAAAACTGTTAATGGTACAGCGAGTGCCTGCTCAGAAAGACCGAGAGAAGCAGTATGCGTGGCAGCACCAATCCCAAAACTGTGGCCTTTGTACCGAGAAGGGTCAAGACCAATCAACCCCATACGCACCGCTAATTCGCCCATCCGCAAGAAACCCTGGAACGCAGTGAGGAATAATGCACGCAGTAGTAACCTGTAAGCAAGAATAGACCTTTCCGGGCTGTCAATCAAACTCCAAGTAACCAATCAGAACAAGGCATATACGCGCTGTTTACAAACACGTTTTCCACACAAACACACACGAGTGACACGAGTTACGAGTTTGTGCAGTGCGAGAAGCGACGTCGATGATATGACTATGCAGTAGGAAACCTTTACCATGAAGCCAAAAAAAGAGGGAAAAAATGCCTAGGCCTACTGTCAGTGGAATATGGCTTGTGGAAGACGGCATGTCCTT